AGAGCAGCGGCGATATCGGGAACGAATGGCTGTACAGTCATTCACCTGCCTCTGAACTGTCATGCTGGTTCAGAAGGTAGATTTTATTGGCATAGACTAGCAACCACACCCTGAGGAATTTTCAAAGGCAGATACTGGTTGATGATCGCCCATATAAAGTTGAATCCTCACTCTGTGTACTCACGCATCTTAGAAGTCAACAAAAGCATACATCTACCCTGACCAGCATTTTGGTTTTCACTATGTTATGTTACGTTAACAGAAGCTGAACTGATCGGTCAAGGGTTTGCTGTTTCTCCTCTGCCTCGCTTTCTATAATAGGGACGCTCATCCGGAACGAATTATTCAGTCAAGCGTTAACGACGGTAGCAATCGCTTATTTTTTCGGACCAAAGTGAACATTCGGGCGTATAGACTTGCGCTGAGGTTTTGCTCCAGAAGCAAACTGGTGAGAAGCAGCTAACTTGGGCTCGGTGATTATTAAGGCTTCTTTAGCCTTTAAAGGACGGAAGTTTGCCGCTGGTGGTTACTGTTCATTGCTTCGAAGTCGGACAAATGCGCAATAAAGGCATGTCATGTAGCCGCATTGAATAACCTATGCTACAAGTAGCACCATAAATCTATTCCTGATCTGGTAGACGTATCAGATTTGCAAGCAGGAGGGTGCACTACGGAAGAAACTTCAAACTTATACATCGGTCTAGACACTTCCTTCCGCACATCATCGGGAAAAGAATGTTTACAAAACAGCTGTTTTAAATACGGACGATGTAAGCGGAATGGTTGATTAGATAACCACTGCAAAGGTCTATCATGATTTTTACTAAACTAGAATAGATCGTTGTTTTACGGATACGGGGACCGGAAGGTGACAGTTCTGACAGCGTATAAGAAGCCGTGCCGCAGTTGATCGCAGAAAAATCGAATGTTTCTCTGGGTAAAAATACTTTTTTTTAAGAAACCGTTGGGTACTCTGCCTAACTGGATGGCATTCAAATAAGGAAAGCAAACAGGCATTCTCCTCAACATATTTTTTTTTCAAAATTTACCTGTAGACCGCTTACACTCTCGATTGGGGGTTGGGTATTGCTGGCTAATGGCGACTAATAAGCCGAAAATGATCATTCCCGTCGCCATTGTCTTTGTCGGTCATGTTCGTCTGCCTGTAATGCTAAGCGACTTCTGGTGGCGTTCGAGAACGGGACAAGTGCATCACGTGATCGCTCATCCACCAACTTTTAAGTAATGTTAAAATCCATCCAGAGAAGAGATAATATTTTCGTCGTACCTCTCGGTGACTCATGATGAAGTAGACACACGTACTATTTAGAATAGTGTCAGTTGGCAACGGTTTATTTTCCGTAGTCAACGGCGACCAAACAGTGCGTACTGACCCAGGTTTCACATCTGCTACATCGAGTTGCCGTCTAGCGGATCCAACGGAATCGTTTGTGGTCCCCTCCACATAATATTTTTAGGAATGGACTGGGGTGGGCTTTGGTGTTGATGGGAACTGCATAATTAAGGTGACTTGCGCATGGGTGTAGAGTAAGGAAGAATTGAATACCATAAAGCCCACGGTTTCTCTCCAATGCCAGTGCCATGTAGAGGGAGCTGCGAAGGGATACTGTGCTCATGAATGGAAGCAAAGGCTTGTTCACTGGGACACTGGAAAATGGAGAATGGATAAAGTTTTGCCGCAGCACTGGAGATACAGAAGGCCAAGGCACGTCAGGTTCAGCGGCCGATACCAATAACCTACAGGATATGGTGAGGAATTACGGTAAAGAAGGAGAGCAAAGCGAAGCAGGTCAGAAGGTAAGTTGCACACGCCGCCAAAACCTGATAACCGAATCACCCTCGAAGCTGCATTATGCACAAATGCCAAACACGCTGTTTAAAGGGAGTGTGACTGTCTGATTCTTAGCAAACAAACTAGCCAACTTAACGCCCAACTTAACTCCAACTTAATCACAGGGTCAAACTTCTGGACTCAGTCCCCCTATTCAGCATGATTGGAAAGAATAGAAGGGACGAACAACCAGGCCTCGTTTTTCACCTTCAATACACGGTAGAAAGGCCTTGAATCCTGCGGACTGTATGACACTAATCTGTGTCCAAACAGGGCGTTCGTCTGCAATGGTACAACTGTTATAATAAGAGACGTCTAAGTGGCACCCTCGATTGAGTCTAACGTGGTACTTCCTGGGAAACAAATCGTCCGTAAACACGATAAGCCGATCCATAGCTTGATTTTTTTTTAGATGCTATAATAACCAAATGAACCGTTTCAGCTCGATTCCAACAGCAGTTCGATGCTGCTTTTAGGCTTTATCTCGAAACTCCTGTCCAGAAGCGACATAGAGATCACTTATGACAGACTTACGACGGCAAATTAATCAGAAGACAGCTTCCAGGTAAAAATATAAACCCTCATAGATGAAGGCTACAACTGTGATATTTGGAACCTTGTGCCTTTACTGACTAGTGGACAACGGACTAACTGCGGCCACTTATGCGCATTTGATCTTGTGATGTGTAGGTTACTGTCATAAACCAGACATCCGTCAGTATTCTGTTCAGGTGACTCCGACGATTGCTCTACAGAGGGCGAGCACTTTGCCTGAGTGTTTATTGATCCAGTAGACGTCGGATTAGGGTCTGAATGTGCCCGCATCTGGATTTGCATTATCAATGACTGATGTCAACTACAGTAGC